CCCCAAAACCCCAAAACCCCAAAACCCCAAAACCCCAGCTTTTCAAATCTATAGAATAATTTATAACATAATGGGGAATAAAACTGTAGGCAAGAAAGTTGACAGACCAAAGTCAAAAGCGGTTATTAAGGATATTGACCTTGACCAGTTTAAGAAATTTACTCAAGAGCCTAGAGAGTTCTTGAATGGAAGGTTAGGTAAGTGCTTCAGAAGGATAATTGGAATATTTTTTGCTCAAATTTTGGTAATTCAAACCCGATAGGATAAAACAAAGCATTTATCTGATTTTATATAGAATTCAGAGATAACCTTGAAGAATGGGGCTATATGTGGGCCCATAGGCTACTTGAAGACTCTTTCGTCAGATCTAGTTTTGAAATAGAGAAGGTCCTTAAGTCAATAATAGACTTATCTTTAACCAAGAATGATCTGACAATTTGTGATGAAGGAGAGGCCCTCAAGCCAAAACTTAGTGATATTGAAAACCATGGTAAGGATTTGTTGATAAAACTTCTCTGTATAGAATATGACTTGCAAGAACTACAGAGAAAATTAAATCAAGATAAGAAAGACCAAATCAAGGATAACTCCAGTCATGCTTTACAGAAAGCAATGATATTGACTCGTAAGATACTCTGGCACGTTAGGGTTGTCGGAATTGGAATGGCTGCAATGGGAGTAGTGCTTGAAGGAGAAAAGCATGATGAAATGATCCACCATATGGAGCAGAAGGTGGGCGAGGCTAAGAAAGAGTACATCAATAAAATATTCGAGCTTAGAGTCCACGACTTTAAAACCCAGTTCTTTGTAATGAAATAAAATCTTTGATAAGGTGATTTATGGTGAAGATGATGAGATTCTGAAAAAGTCAAGGCTCGATTCAGCTTTTGTAATTTGTGAAGAGCTGTTTTTATTAATCTCTGAGCCTCAATCTGAATTATATAAATCAGCTCATATGACAATCGACTTGGTTTCTTGCTTCATGATCATTCATCTTGGGATGTTGCAGCTTGCTGTTGAATGTTATGACTTGAACGACCATAAAGATAAATTGAATTATTGTTGAGAGTTTTATCCAATGTTGATAAAATCATACATAGACCAAGCTATCAGCAACTATGTGAAGCCGATCATCCTCAACTACCACAATCAGGTCTCTCGCTTGACAGAGATGGAGGAGATCTATTATGAAATGAATAATTCAATCATCTACACTCTCAAAAGAAACAGTGAGCATATTATTTGGAATACCACGAGAGAGGAAATGACCAGAGACAGGATGTTTTACAATTTCAAAGAGGGAAAATTAAAATTTGTCGAACCTTCCTACCTCATCGGTCCAGAACCTCCTCTACTGTGAAGAGCATTGAGATATGGCGTTGCATTGAAGCTGGAGGATCTCTACACTCCATATTCTGCAAGCATCGACCAAATTGTTTATAAATTGAAAAATACTGTTACTGAAGAAACTGAGATGGGAGAGATTCAACTTAAAGAAGATAGTCAAAAAGTTCAAGGCAACAACGAAGAGAATGGCGTAGATTTACTTGGACTCAATGAACCCGAACCAATAGAAGAGGATAAAGAGGAAGCCAAAGATGAAAAATTAGAGACTCTCTCACAAGGAAGTGACGATTCCTTCACAGCAGTATCTTCAAGAAACTTTCTTCCTGATGATAACTTAAGGAACAGGTTCAACAAAGAACCTAATGCAAGTCCAGTGAGAAAGACCAAAAATTACATAATGAACAAGATGGAGAAAAAGGAAGATCTCAAGTGTAATTTTGTGTCAGAAGACAATTACCACTATAACCAATGAATCAGAGTTGAACAGGCTAGGAAGACAATTGCTGAAGTAAGAAAGAAAGCTCGAGAGGAACAGAAATTACTTAATGAGCTATATTCCATCAAGGCTAAGCAGTACAAGTATGATGAAATGACTGAAAATTTCTCTCGACTGATCTTCATGCAGGAACTTTACGAGCTAATGATCGATGATGAAGAGCTGTACACAAATCTGTCGGAATACATGATATTCCATCATGAGAACAAAAGAGTGAAATATTTCAGCAATCTTGAATAAATTTTTGGGGTTTTGGGGTTTTGGGGTTTTGGGGTTTTGGGG